ATGCTAAAATCCTCACTAGTCATTGCTTTGTATGATATACGATCTATGAGGTACGAAACATATTTCTGATACATAATGTTGGCTCCATGAATATTAAATACACATGAACCCTGATAATTAGCATTTACTGAATAAACGGAAAAAATGAAGAGTATAAAGTGATATTTGTAGAAGTCATTTATATGCTTAAGGCTACGTTCTGCTATTATCAGTTCTCTCCTAGTTATTTAACATAACCTAAAGAAATGATGACTTAGCATTATGTGAACTTTCAAATGCGAATTTCTTTACCACCAGTAATTTTTAAGGATAATAGTCTAATTAGAAATATTTTAATCTGGGTTTTATTAATGGTAGGAAACAATTTGATGATATCATTTTTAGATCATTAATGAGTCTGAACTTTTTTCTGACCTATTTAATTCAATAATAATGTATCCTTACCTACTTTCAAATGTAGATAGTAAATTTAGCAAGGATTAAGAAGGGATTAAATATTCCCGGGTTACTACCAGAGAGAGGCTTAAGGCCTAGGAGAACTTGGCTCTGTAGGTCTGTTAACTGCATTGTCAGAAAATTATCACGAATTCCCCCAGGAGCACAGCACTTCAGAAACCCCAAGGTCTTTACTTATCAAAAGAAAGCAGTGCAGAGTTAGGGTTCAGAGAGCAGGCTCTGTATTCTCAATTACTGGCCCATCGCTTATTAACTGTGTGACCTCAGTTTCCTCATCGGTAAATCAGGATAGTAATAGTTCCTGCCTTACAGGGCTTCTGTGAGGATTATATGAGACATACATTTAAATGCTTAGCACAGTACCAAGATGAGTAAGAATGGTAGCTATTATTCTGTACATTCTGAATAAAGTAGACAGAGAAAGTATAGACTGCTAAAGAGTTCAGAACTGGTTCAGAATTTGGCTGTGTAATAAGGACAAGATACTTTGAAGTCAACAGGGTATTGACCAAAAGGCCACCTTTGTTTGATAAATCTACACTCCAAAGTTCAGAACCACTTATCCTGCCTGGCATTTCAATTGATGAGAATGAATTTGTTTAAGGTATCCTTCTCTTTGATCAATGATTGTATAGCATGATTGTATAATAATGTCTAAACCTCATTTTCTGAAAACCTAGGTACATTATGGAGTAAAGACAGCTTTGTCAATTTGTTATTCGTTCTAAATTACCATAAACTGGCTGCTTAATTATACTCATTTTGTATTTTCTTTTAAACATTAAAAAAATGTACTCCTACTTTGATCCAAGCAACCATATGTCCATAGTGTAAGTAAAGTACACCCACAGCTGATGTTTAAGCTAATGAAATGAGAAATGAATTACATACCAGCTTTGAATAGTTCATTTATGCTGTCAGAGTGAGAAAGTAGTAGTTTCCGTCTGTATTTCAGAAATTAAACATTTGCTTCTGAAAGATTTTATTTTAATTGGAGCTAATATTAATTCATTAGTAAAAGGCCTTTAGAGGAGTTAAAATGAAATCATTTTGCACTAATAAAAAGGCTGTGTTGTATTTTTCTTAAGATATCCTAAATCTTTCTCACATTATTTCACAGAGCAGCGAAAAACAGACCTTTACATGACTTTAATTTTTCTTTTTTTTTTTTTCTGCCAAAATCTACATAGGAAGATGGTGGGAACAGTGTCAATAATAACAGATTGAAAGTATTAATATAATTAAATTATTAGTGTATTGCACACTTGTTTGATATGTGAGAAAAAACATGTTTTAGTGGGAATAATTATGAATAAAGCTCTGTAGCCTGCAGGTCCCTACAGTTTTGAGAACACATCTCTTTGCACTTAATTATGTCTTTAGAATGAATAGAGAATATCACAGAGGCTGGAAGCCATTTTGTCCTGTTCTTTAGAGTAGTAGTTTTGATGGAAGGTTTACTGTCTACTCTAGAACCTGAAGGAAATGTGAAATTGCTGGATACATTTTCTTAGAAGTTTCCTCCTCTTTAACGCTACAAAAAGTAATGATTAACTCATTAAACAGATTTGAATGTTCCTATAAGCCTGCATAAATATATTATTGGAGCTTTTCAATTGTTAACAAAACCTAAATCACATTTAAATGCAAGCTGGACATGTTTCATTGTACCTACTCTTTGTTTGACTTTTACATAGTAATTAATCAATTAATCTAATCACTGAATTAATTCAGTCATTTACTACATGCCAGGCTAGCCACTTAGGATATAAACAAGAAATGTTACAAGGAACAATTGAAAACTTATAAATATATGATGTGTTCATAAAACAACTTACTGAGTGTCCATCATTTGGGGGATACTATTATACTTAATGGTAAGAGCAGGTTCCATTCATTAGAGTAGACTTAAAATGAATCTGAGGATAAGCAGAATTTAGGCATGGGAAGAACTATGCTGTGGAGTGAAATAGTAGATGCTGATGACTAGAGACAGTGGGGCTAAACGTTGTCAATGGATTTGGGATATATTTACGTTGTAGAGTAGATGGCATTTAGTGGGTATTTGGATGTAAGGAATAAAGAAGAAGTATAGGAGGTCAAAGAAAACAACCGGTTTTTTTTCATGGGTGACTGAGCATCAACATAGAATACAGTAATGGAAAATTAGGTTTCCTGGGTTAAAAAAAAATGTGTTTACATTTAGATAGAATATGTTTGAGGTGTTATGAAAGATTCAGGTAGAATTTTGCCATTGTCAACTGGATATACAGTTCTGAAATTAAGGAAAAAGTCTAGATTTGAGATATGCTTTAAGAGTCATATGCATATAAATGAGAATTATGGTTTGAGATTGTTTTTCTTATGCAAAGGGTATCAGTTTGGTCTCCTTCTTGCTTTGTTTTCCCATCCACTGAAAGGGAGAAAGTGATTTGAGGGATTCTCACTGTAAAGTGGTATTACCCAATCGAAGGTTCTGTTATCCCAAAGGTTACTGTCATAATAGCCATATCTCCACTCTTCATGCAATAACTGAATGAGTTAGAAGGAAACACTACTCTCCAAGTTCAAATTATGAGTCCTTTATTTAGCTGGAGACTGAGAGTTAGCTAACATTCAAAATCTCTCGGCCCCAAGGGAGGGGCATGATTCCCCTTTATACCTTGATTTAGGTAGGGGAGGGGGCAGCCTAGCTGAATCAGAATTTTACAGAAGCAGAACAAACAAGTTAGTAGGAGGAGGCTGGTAACCAGGGGGGCAGGAGGTTCTCAGGGTTCTTAGCAACCCTTGTTGGTTGCTAAGGGTATTTCCATGCAATCACTAAGTGGGGTAGCAGGGAGAACTTTCCATATAATCAATCACCAAGGAAGGTATTCACAATAGCAGATAGACTTGCCCAGCAGGACGCAGTTACAATGGTTACAGGTGCTGGGAACCCTGTGAACCACTTTTAATGGTTCAAAGCTTTGCGTGCAGTGTGACCCAGTAATGCACCTGAGGGGCTGTGGCAGGGAGGGAGAGGCTCGAGAGAGCCTTGTCAGGTTTGCAGCTAAGATGGCATCAGTTAGGCTAATTCAGGTTAGGTTGTTACCTTCAAAATGGTAATCACTAGTCACATGTATGTGTTAAGCATTTGAAGTGTGATGAATATGGCTAAGGAATTGAATTAAAATTTAAGGCTAATGAATTTAATTTTTTAGTAGCCACACGCAGCTAGTAGCCACCTTTTATTGGACAGTGTGCCTAGAGAATGGACAGAGGAGAAGAGCACAGTGGATAATTTCCACAGGTATGGTAGCTCAGAGGTAGGATAAAGGTGATACATTTTAGCAGCTGGAGGAAAGAAGAGACCAGATAAAATGAGTTCCCGTCTATATCACCAACATTTCCTCATATCGATAACACAACAGGTAGGATCGCAACAGATGGTATGCCATACATACAGAAAAAGGCTTAAATGTAGAAAAATAATGTTGATTGGTATTTTTATAGCAGTTAAAATATTTCTGTCTTCTAGCTTTAGAATTGTTTCTGCTAAAAATCAATCTTTTTATCTGACATCTTCATATTGGGCAGAGGCTTTCTCAATATGACATAGTAGATTTGTTTGAGTGTAGATTCTGCATTTTGGGAGTCTGAATTCATATCTCTTTTGTTACACGTTAACAGAATGAATCCGTGTTCGAGTCTTGATTTCTCTGTGTCCCAGTTGTTAAACTATTAATACTCGTTAATACTGGAACTATTTTAAGATTTAAATCACTTTGAACACTTAGAAAAGTAACTTGAGTCTAGTGAAGAGTTAATAACTGTTAATATCATTAACCTTAAAAGTAAAACTGAAGAAATCTTTTTATTTGAAACATTTTGAAGCCTATTTTAAAAAGATAATCCTTGGATTGGTTTACCAATAGAAGCACCCCTGTTGTCATTCAGTGTTTTGTTATTTTAGACATAGTTTGCATATGAGAATGCCAATTCCTTTTCACTAATTTTTTTATTATAGAAAAAAAAAATCTCACCAAAAAAAAGTCTACAATATTTTTATTATTTCTGTAAGGATAGAATTAGTACTTTCAACTAAATTTTCTTCTGTTTAGCAGCTCAATTGCTTTCCTTCTTTAAATGTCATTGTATTTACAATTCCAAATGTTTTACACACCAACTCTTTTCCATAATTTCTTGTGGTTTATGTTGGATAGGATGAGAAGTGATTTTATGGTCCCAAGGTTTTGTAAAAACAAAAATGATGTGAAGGAGAAAGGTAACCTTTTAAAACATTTCTGTAAAAATGCTTTTCGCTGCAGGAGCCTGGAGTTCAGAAAACAAAAACAAAATGCCTTTCATTGTCTTTGAGTCCTTTTACTTTTCAGCGATCCAGGATGATCCTTCTAAAATTTGTGTATCTCTATATTTTAAAAATATAATTAAAGATCTATTAATCAAATATTTGTTAAAAACAAAATTCTACATTTCCTAGAAACTACTATAGAAATCCAGAAATACAAAGAAGACAATCTTCTCCTTATTCTTTATTTTAACAGTAATTCCTGAATTTGTTACGCAAGTGAATGTTGCCTTGGAAGCCTTAAGCAAGAACTCGTTGAATGTGTTGGATGATAATCAATTTGTGGACATCTCAAAGAAAATCTATGATACGATTCATGATATCAGATGTTCAGTCATGATGATTCGGGTAAGTTTGCTTTTCTTTCTATTGAATTATGGCAATACTCTTCACCATCTGGAATGCCTGGAATGATTGCAAGAAATGCTTTATTTCTATGCTGTAATGTCAGTGCTGAAATCTATTAAAACTGTACAAGTTTATATTTATCCCCAAAGTCAGATCTACTGTCACAAACAACACTTTTACTTATGTATTTGGTTATAACTTACGCAAATGAGTACATTTTACTGTTGCGTGTACAGAAAAGAAATAATTTGTTGGGTGCAGGACTTGTTGAAGGTATCTCCTAGCATGATAAGAAGCCAAAGAAAAATAAACAATTTGCTTTTTATTTTCTTGAACAAAAAGAAAAGAATCTTTCTTATCACTGTGGTGAAATTGATAGGAAAATGTGTTAAAACAAGGTATTTTATGGGCAAACCCTCTTATCCCAGATCGTAAAATCACAGAATGTTCTGCAAGAAATCTCACTTGGAGTTGCCAGGAGCAACAAACACTTCAATGGTCCCAGTCTGGGAGTTGTCTATTCCACCTTCCCAGGTGTGAGAGCCCCATTGGTTTCAGCCCACTGTATATACAGAAACCACAGTTGATTTCCCTCAATTATTAATGTAAAGTGTTCTTTTAAATATTACAAAGAACGTATATTCTTTAGAAAATGCATATGTAAAGATATGAAGATACCTTATCTTAAGTGGGTTCACCTGAAGGCAGACTCTGAAGTAAGGATTGGTGTTATCAGTAGTCTACTTAGGAGAAAATGAGACAGACAAAGTGAAGCAAAGAAGGGAATAAAACCAAGAAGGTGTAATTATGAGTCACTGCAGGCAACTGGGGCTTGATCCTCCTGGTAAACTCTGGGTGCTACTGCAGAATGCACCTCAGCAGTTCAGAATTATCTGACCTGACGTGAACAAACTGGAGATTGAGCCACCTATTCATCCTGGGTGAAAAGCTATCCTCAGAGGTGTCACCTGAGCCTCCTGCTCAGGGCCAGTCAAGCTTTTGCAGCCAAAGAAAGTATTTTTCAGGCAGGGTAGCACGTGCTTGCTGTTGGAAGATTCAGTGGGATTGGTGAATCTAATTTTTAAATATGAGTAGAATTCAATTTTTAAGCCTCTGGACTTAACTCTTAGTAAGACTGTAAGATGGAAATAGAAATGCTGAGAATATATGAGTGGAGCGGCGATAGTATTAATATCTGATAGGCATGCATATCACAGGCTATACTGAGCAGTCTGTAAGTCATTTTGTGGACCTTGCAAAGAAAAGGGCCAACAAACATTAGGGAGCCTGGCCGGGCAGAAGGATGCTGTGGAAGAGCTTGTAAGAGAAAGTCTAAAGGCGTCAAGACAGAGAATCTAGTACTTTGAGGCTAGGGAAAATCTGAAAGCAAACCAATTATCCATATCAAAGAGAAACCTCAGGATAAATACTTGTGAGCAGCCTACAAGTATTTTTGTGTGATTAGAAAATTTGGCCTTGCACCAGTGACTATGTCTGAGCAGCAAGAACTTTTATCAGTTTTCTTACTGTAAAATGTTTATGCCTTATCTCTGTGAATTAGTGGACTAGTAATAACCCAAAGCTGGGAAGTTGGTGAATCCAGAAAAGAAATATTAAAAGTGTAAAGAAGACGCATGAACTTCAGGATATAGTCTTGGCAGAGTGAAACCTCCCGATTTTCACTATCCCTGAGTGGATATTTGAAAATATAAACCAGTGAAATAGCACAGGGGAACCAGGGTAGAGAATTCATTTTTTTCTTACTAAAGCTATCTACAACTGAAAAAAAAATCTTCTAACTTCTCCCAGTTAGACGTTCCAGTGTTTTTAAATTTCTTCATTATCAAGATAGCTTACTTACAGCAAATCAAATTATCTTGCCATTATTTTTACACATTCCTCATATACAGTGGTCCTCTGCAGGGCAGGAGAACAATTTATTGTAATTATTAATAGCCTTTGAGATCATTAATTTTCCCCCCAGTCACCTCTTTTTCAAGATAAATACTTCCATTTCTGTTAACTTTTTCTCATAGGAATAATTTAGTATCGTGTGTTCTTCACTAGTCCTTATTTAATTTTCAACAAACTTCTCAAATGAGACTATCAAAAATACATTCTAATTAATGCCCAATGTCAAATAAAGTAGACTTATTTCTATTTCTACTGATACAGCCAACTGCTGTTAAACTATATTTTTTTTCCATTTAAACACTGTGTTTACTGGATAGAGGTTGACGTCCTTTTCCTTTTATTTTTTTTTTATCTTGTTGGTTCCTGTGTACACATTCTTTATTTTGATTTGTTGTGTTCTTGTTCTTAAGTCCTAATCCTATTAAACTTATATGATTCTTTATATAATTTATCAGATTGTTTTCCAGTTTGATTGTTGAATATACCACGTTAGCATCAATTAGAAACTCGAAATGCAGAGTGTTAGGTTTTTAATCTAAATTACTAATAAAAACATTAAATTATATTGGCCCTTCCTCCCCAGTTAAGAGCATTGGTGTTGAGAGCCTTTAGAAACTGATGCTCCATGCAACTGAGAACTTGTCTTTAATGGTTTGAAAGAGTGTTTTCTGAATTTTAAGGTAGATATATTACTTCTTTAAGCACACTTTATGGCCAAAAAGATAAAGCAAATAAAATCAGAGCTGCTGTACTTGAAACCAGGCAGGAGTAGCCAGAGGCCCATCGTCTCTGTCTCTATACCCCCAGTTCCCTAAGCAGCCTCTAGGGGCACCTCTACACAACTTCTACAGGGATTCCTTGGAAAACGATCCGTAAACTTACGGACTTAATACCCAACTGGGTTATAGGATAAAAATACAAGTCTCACTTAGGTGCAAGTAAATGAAAATCTATCCATGTTTTTCTTAAAGACTGTCCCTTTTTCACAGAGTATAATAAATGTAATCTGGTATAATCCGCTTTTTACAAGGTCAAATTTAATGCTGACCAATATTCTGGCCTTAGAACTGCAAAGTATTTTAGGTACCTTTCAAGGTACCTAAAAAGTGTCAACATTAAAACAATACATGTATAATTAACCAAGCTCAGAGAGGGATAGACTATGCCATTGAGGATATTTGTGAGTGTTATAGTATCCCATTTTATGTCTGAATTTTTATGTGTACTCATCAGTACCCTTGAAACAATAAAATACTAACTCAAGATCAGAACTTGGCATTTTTAGGGTTTCATAAAAATATGATTATATCTTTAGTTTGTTTTGATCAATAATTATGCCGGCAGTTGTTTAAAACTCTAGGATAAATACTGTAACATTTCATGTTGCTATGTAGATAAATGAGGTTATAGACTATTATACTTAGCAAACTCATAGAATAAGCAGTATTAAATATTTTGATCTGTTTCATATTTCATATATATGTGTAAATTTTACAACTATTAAGAGTTCATAATATAATGGTTAAACTAAAGAAAGAAATCTTACTTTGCCTCCGTTTCCTCCTTTGTAAGATAGACATGGTATTAAACCTACTTCAAAAGATTATTAGGCTGACGTGAGTTAATAGAAATGAAATGCTTAATAAATAGTAGACTATCACAAGAATATAGCTACTGCTACTGTTACCACATCGAGTTCATACTTATTAGACCTGCTGAAGCTACTTAATATTTTTGTATATCTTGACAAATATTAACTACATAAGCATGTCTGTAGAGCAACATGAAGGGCAAAGTCCTAAATCAATAAACCTGTTCCTTTATAAGGCAATGTTTAAATAAGAGGGTACTTATGTTTATTGACATCAGGTATCTAAATTATAGACTATTTAATGCAGATTATGCTTTTGAACCCACATTAGTTTAGGGTAGTATTATAATTCTACACATCATTTTTAAAGACCCCTTAAAACATGAATGAGAACTGAAGTCTCAATATTCATCTTTTTTGGTAAAAGATATTTAACCACAAAGGGAGGAAATTTTAAAAGATAAATGTAATTTAATTGAGAGAGACAGTAGTGTAAGTGGCCAGCAGTGAAGTATCCTCAGAAAAAGCAACAAGATTCAGGTAAAATTATTCCTGTCATAGGCATTCAGAATGTAGATTTCATGTGTTTCCTTTGTAGATTTTTATATGTGCCTTATCAAAAGCACTTCAAAAATATAGAGATACTTTCCAAAGCTAAATGAGTAGATTTTCAGGACCATAACTCAAATTTGCATTTTCTGTGTTTGTTTTCTAATTCTATATATCAAGGAATAGGAACATATTTTGCATATCTGACTTGATGGAAGTTAATTTTGGAGGAAACAAAGAAAATTAAGATAAATTTACATGGCCCAGTTTACATTAACTGCTTTTACATGAATCATTTACATGGCTTCTAGAATTGGGACACAGTGTGATATACAATTTCAAGTTATATAACCAATCTTTGGGTCTGATTCTATTGCACCTATAGGAATGAGTCGATTTATGGCTTTTCCTGGAACTACGTATAATTCTCTCAATTGAGATTACTTGTAGTGTCATGACTTCTGTAAATTTCTTTCATTTTCTTCCATAAATGTTTTTTGATTCGTGGCCTTAAAAACATCTCTTCATGATATGTCTTCCAGACTGAGCTTCTGTCTATTTGAAGTTTGATGCTCAAACTACTAAAGGGAAAGGACTTTACAATTTCAGTTAGTCACTAATGTAGAATATTATCTTCTCCAATTACAATTCTGTGGAATTAAGTTTGGAAATGGGAAAATACTGAAAGAATATTGTGTAAAATCAGAAGACCTGAGTTCAACTGTCAGCTCTACATGTTACTGCTTATATTTTTACTTTACATGACATCATCTGTTTCTTCACTGCTGGGGTAAATGGAAGAATACTATGGAATTTCTATTTTAAGAATCATTGTGTGTAAAAGTAAAAGACTGAACAGTGTTTCCTAAGATCCTGAAAACAATGAGACTGTCGATACTTAAATGCAAATTAGGGCCAGGTGTGGTGGCTAATGCTTGTTTGGGAG